AGGGATACAGAACTCCCAACAGGGTTGACAAAAAGCAATCTTTACCCAGGATAATGCACCCAGCAAAGCTTTCCTTTGTCTTTGAAAATGAAATAAAATTTTTCCACAGTAAAAAAAAAGTTAAAAGAATATGCTTCTTCTAAACCTGCTCTACAAATGATGCTTAAAGATGTTCTCTAGACAGAAAAAAAAGCAATAGCATTCACCCAAACCAAAGCCAAATGTGAAAAACTTCCCGGTAAAATAACAACAGAAGACTAAATCAACCAAGGAACAACCTATTGCTAAAATGACAGGACCAAATTACCCCATTCATATTAACCCTGAATGTAAATGGTTTAAACTCATCAATAAAATATCATAGATTAGTAGAATGGATTAAAAAATAAAACTCATCTATTTGTTGCCTGCAGGACACATATTTCATCAACAAAGATCAGCGGAAATTATATCTCAAGGATTTTGATTTTTTTTTTGTTTAGTTTCATCTCTTCAAAATACTTTCTCATTAAATTTTTCAATGCGTTAGGGTAGGGGTTGAGGTAGGTCATACAGCAGCATAATTTTCTTCAAGAAGATTCTTGATTTTCTTTTTCATTTCTTCAGTGAAACATTAGTCGTTCCGTAGCATGTTATTTAACTTCATGACATTTTAAATTTCTGTTTTTCTTCCTACTATTGACTTTGTAATGTGACTTTTCATTTACAGGGATATACAGTAACTGTGTAATGGAGACTATCATATCCGGATGTGAGGATACAATGCAGTATACATCTCTACTTCCAGATCAAAGATGGACTCCCAATGAAACTGTTTACTATATCTTGACAATAGGATGCTGGACTCTCTGCCATTGTCCATGCCCACAATGATGGACATTTAACTGTTTATGAAGAACTATCCTTTACAGTAACATAAGGGAACTCAGACAGGGGAAGGGGACTTGGGAAATCCCAGGGCTTATGATACTGTATCATAAAATGATGATGATGATGATGATGATAATGAGTAAAATCAAAACTAAAACAAACTTTGATCCATGCATCCAACTCTGATATTTATTAAAAATATGTATGCACAAGAGTGTTCATCCATTATGGTACTATCTCTAGTAGCAATCAAAGAGGAAACAAGCCCACGTGTAGCAGGAGAACGGTGGCAGAAGAAGCCATAATATATTGATGTCTTGGAAGATCAATGCCACACAACCATCAAACGGATGCTGAATCATGTGAGTTGGCTGGCTAAGACTTTCAGAATTTAGTTTTATGTAAGAAAAGCAACATGCAGACATAAATAAGAACCTGACCCTATTTTTATGAAGCACACAGTTTACATAGAAACGTACATGAAATATCCATATGGGCATATGTACATGTCTGCATACGACCATCAAGACTTGGAGAGATGCAGAAAGCAGACCACACATGGCAGGCCGCAGCACTGGGGGTGTGGGGAACGGCAGGAAATTAAACAAAAGATCATGATACTTTATAAATCAAGGGATCCTTAAAATAGCACGCTCTAAGTTAACTCATTTACACAGTTTTCTGTGTATATACTCATAATGAAACACATAAACATAAAGTTAATGTAAATAGTTACTTAAGAGTAGTAGCTTTCCAAGACATGGTTTACTTTTTCCTTCCTTTCTGCAAATAAACATTGACTGAACTTAATGTGCAAAGAAGCCGTATAAATAAGAAAAACACACCCACTCACACAGCATATATTTGGTTTTAAGAAAAAAAAAAGTGAAACCAGCTTAAACCAAAAAAAAAAAGGAATTGATGGACTCACACATTGGTCGAAGTTCAGAAACAAAGCTCGCTGTAGGGCCCAGGAGAGCTGAAATTCCAAACGCAGCAGAACTCTGCCCGAGCCTCCTCCCAGCTTTCCTGACAGCACCACAGCCTGCAGCCTGCTCAGGATGATAGCCTACAGCATCCCACCTCCGAGGAAGCGTCTTCCACCATTCCTCAGGACGGCCCAGCAAACCTTGCGCCTCAGGTGCCTGCCCTAGAGTGGGCAGCTTTTCCTGAACCGCGGATTACTGGGGAGGGGGTCCTTGAGTCAAATTAGAAAACTCAAAGTAACACCACTCACACTTCAAACTCGGCATCTGTGGCCAGGAGGGGCAGGGCAGCAGGCCAGTTCCCAAAGAAAAGGCAGGCGGTGTGGGATCAGTAGGCAGTGCGGCCTCAGTGAGAGCAGATGTTGGAAGGCTAATCACACAACACATATGAGGCAGGAATGAAGGGAAACAATACAAGCATTCTGTAAGGTACTAAGTCCTCAACCTACCCAGTGATCTCAAATTGTAAATGAAACTATATCAATTTGCTACTTACCAGGTTGAAAAATACACAGACCCTGTACCTGTACGCAGTAGATGACTAATTGCTAAGGTGATGATTTTGTATGCGCTGCAAAAGACATTCCCACAGCTCTGAGACTTGGCTCCATCAATCCATGCTGTGACTGTTTCTGGCAAAACCAGGTGAAGTCTACAGTTCATTACCCACAGTAGGGCTCGAGTCAAATCAACAAGTCAGTTATTTGAAAGGGATGTTTACAAAGAGAGAAGGAGGGAAAGAGAGATAGACATCTTTTTACCAATACTTGTTCACTCCCCAAATGACTAGACCAAAGCCAGGAGCCAGGAGCCAGAGAGCCTTCTGGGTCTCTCTTGTGGGTCCAGGAACCCAAGAACTTGAGCCATGAGATGTTGCTTTCTCAGGCTCATTAGTGGGGAGTTGGATCATGAATGCAACAGCTGGGTCTTGAACCAGCACTTATATGAGATGCTGGCTCCACAGGCTGAAGCTTAACCTCCTAAGCCACAGCATTAGCACCTAAAAAAGTCTTTCTCAACATGATTAAATGCTTTTATTCCTTTCATGATATAAGAAACACACATAATGGGGGAAAAAATGTCTCCAAAGCACTACAAGAAAATGGATCCCAAGGCACAACAGCATAACGTTGAAATGACAGAGACTTCAGGCTATAATACCTGAAGTACTGTCCCTGTTCACTAAATATATATATGTACTCCACTGTACTGAAAGATAACAATGAAATTAGTGTCATCTTACAAGCAGAGTAAGTACTGGTGTAAGAGCTATGTCAGCCCTTCCATACACAACCACGTATATTTCTTCAGTATGCAAACCATAAGAAGTCAAAGCCAAGTTTAACTTCACTGTACTGATGTCAACACCAAGTGAAAGCTTGTAAATACAATTCATTATTGTAAATGAAAACCTCTCCCCACATTTCATTTTGGGCAGAGAGTGTTTCAAGAGGCTACAGTTGTGGCACAGTGCATTAAGCTGCCAACTGCAGACACCAGAGTCCCACACGGGTGACACTTCAAGTCATGGCTACTCCACTTCTGCTCCAGTTCCTTTACACAACTGGGAAAGAAACAAAGACCAGACAGAAGCTCCTGGCTACTGGTATTGGCTTGGTACAGCCCCAGTAGCTGCAGTCACTTTGGGGAGTGAAACAAGAGCTGGAAGATCTTCTGCCTTTCATTTTGTATTTATTTCTATAAAGATATATCTATTTTCATTGGAAAGGCAGATTTACAGAAAGATCTTCCATCCACTAGTTCACTGCCCAAGTAAGCCAATCCCGAGCCAGGAGCCAGGAGCCTGGAGCCTCTTCCGGGTCTCCCATGCAGGTGCAGGGTCCCAAGGCTTTGGGCCATCCTTGACTGCTTTCCCAGGCCACAAGCAGGGAGCTGCGTGGGAAATAGAGCTCCCAGGACACAGACCAGAGTCTAAATGGGATCCCAGCATGTGCAAGGTGAGAATTTAGCCTCTGGTCCATTGTGTCAAGCCCTCTTTCCACCTTTCAAAGAAATAAATCTTTAGAAAGGAATGAAAAGAAGAAAGGAAGGAAGAAGACTGCTTCCAGACTTAATTTGTTTTCTCTAGTGTAATTACAAACGGAAGTTAGGGTGCTATGTCTTAACTTCGTATCTTTTTAATATCAGTGTTTTTTATCTCACTCTAGAAGGTAAAAGAAAGGGAAAGGTTTGTTCTGTAGCTCAGTCGGTTAATCCCCCAACTTCAAGTGCTGGTTTTCCTCCCAGCTGCTCCACTTCTGATTCGGCTCCCTGCTAATGCATCTGGGAAAGCAGCTGAGGATGGTGTAAGTCTTTGGGACTCTGTACAACTGTGGGAGACCCAGAAAGACGCTCCTGGCTCCTGGCTTGGGGTCAGCTCGGCTCCAGCTGCTGTGGCAGCTGGAAGTGAACCAGTGGATGGGAAATGAACCACTGGATGGAAGATTTTTCTCTCTTTGTAAATTTGCCTTCGCACTAAAAAAAGAGACCACTCACTCCATCCACGACCTTCGCTGTACCACAAATGGATTTGACGGCCACGTTTACATCATGGTAATGTGTTCTATGACCTGTGATGCAGAAGCATAGGAATTTCCTTGACTGTATCAAAACAAGAATCCAGAGGCAAGGAGCAATGCTTGGCATCTGGGCTACCTCTGGAGTGAAACAGCCCAGCTGGGACCCAGGCAGGTGCTAGCCGAGTGATGTGACCACACGCGTGCCTGAGCTCTGCCCCTTCAGCGAGCATCGCCAGAGCACCCACCTCAGGAAAAATGTCACCGGACACCCGCAGGCATTCACTAGAAGCTAGCTATCACCAAGAAACAGAATACTTATTTTTTAAGTCTGTGTCAGAAGTCCTAGAACTCAAAATACTATGTTGTCCTTGCTGTAATTAGTACCCCTGCAAGAGGTCTTTCTAAGATTTCTTTAAATGACTTTGAACTTGATGAAAGTGCTTGATTTTAGCCATTGTAACTATCTCACGATACTTCCACTAAATTTCTTCTACTAAACTGCAAACAAAATGGTAAAATTAAAGCTCCATAAAGTAAAAGAATCTCTCAAGACCAGTACATTCAAATGGTTGCCAGCTGCTGAGGAAAGTAGTAGGGAAATGTATACTCCCTGTGCAAACGTGTCTAGGGAAAGCAGGCTGTATTTATTCAAAAACTATAAAAGGTTACAATATAAACCTACCAAACAAAATTGATCTGCTATTATTAATTATATTCAAGTGACCCAGAGGTGTTCACATTCTGCACAAATCAGGGCAAACATCCAGTGGACAGATATTATTATACAGCTCACACCGATGAAAAGTCTTGTCAACACAGACTCCTATATAAATACACAAAGTTAGAGTTTTAATGGAACATGAACAAATTCTAAGTACATGTGTTAGCTACCTTTCTTTAGCATTATATAGAGAAGTAAATTTTTTTTTTATTTAGCAAAAACATACAGAACATATAAATCTTTAACCACATGTATTGTTGACTAACAAGTGCAAACAGAGTAGAACGTGAGGTTTCTTAGTGTGGGGACATGAACTTCCGAAAGAATCCAACTTGAAGTAAATTGACTTACACACACATTGCAGGAATCACTCACAAAACATTTATCATTTGCAATTGTATACAGAGAACAAACTGCCCAGAAAGTAATACTGGACTCTTACTGAGGGGTAGCATAGTGACAAATTACTTATTTAGGGGCTTCAAATAGCAAAGATTAATGTAGATTAAATAACATATGAGTGAAAAACTATACAGTGTACAATAGCAAGAAGTTAAAAAACTGAATACTGTGGAAAAAGTTATTAGTCTGTACAAGCTGTGTTTTGATAAACTACTGGTTACTTGTTGCAATAAATTATCAAGGTTTTCATTGCAACAGCATTAATTTTCCCATACACATCAGAATCTGGAAGTAAAATATCTTTCTCAAATTGTCATTTAGTTTTTTTTTTGTCCCTAACCCTCAAAACAAGGAAACAGGTTTTGAACATCAACTGCCATTTATAGAAACTCATAAAATATGGATACTTATTAACATTACATGAGCCAAAACAGAGGAACCTGGACAAATGCTACCAACACTTATAATGAGAAAAAAAAAAAAATGGTTCTAAAAGTGATAACTGTGACTGCAGTTACAATAAGCATACTACGTCTTTCTGAAACCTTGCTGTGGTTCTGCAGATACGTGAACTCCAAATGCTGTGCCGAGGCCCTTGAGTCAGACAGACAGATCAGAAGATTAAAACTCCAGGCAAGCAACTGAGCTAACCACTGAAGAAAACTAAAAAGCAACTTCTTCAACATATAAATACTCTTTCAGAAGCATCATCGGGACAAATAGACAGTCAATAATAACCGGCCTGTGCTACATTCTGTGGCGTAGTGTTGTTTAGTACCAGAGGAGAGTCTCGGCGCCCTAGAAAAGCTGTCAGATCGTGCCCTGTCATTCCTGAAGGACGCCTGTGCATCACCCGGGCTCCAGAGCTCTACGCACCGAGGGATCCAGTCACGGAAAGGAGTACTAAAGCACAAAGGAGGAGATCAGAAGCAGACCTTGTTTCGACATATGCTAGATAGATGGATTTTTTTTTTTAAAAAAAAAAAATGACATGATAGATGTAAGTCATAAAATCAAATGCACTCATAAAGGTACACCTATTTTATGTTACATAAAAAAACTGCAGACTGTGCATGCTTACCGTAACATTCTACCTGGGAAAGCCGATGAGTGGAATTTCTTGCAATTATTTACTGCCATGATACAAAACAATTATGTGCAAACTGCAAGGCCCCCACAGAGCAGTTACAGAGTATACACACAGAAGGTGCTGCTATCTGACGGATGGGCAGAGATGGAGCTTCCTCAAGTTTACAGCACAGAGCAGTAGCCACTGCAGGCGCCAGCTCCCTGGCCTTCGTCCCTGTGAGACAGTTTGACTCCTTTGTTCTGGGCCTCGCTCTCCCACAGTCCAGGCGTCTGTATGATCTTTTCCACGAGCTCCTCAAAGGCACACTGGACACCATCACAGGTTTTTGCACTTGCCTCTGAAATTCAAGGGAAAGTGTCACAGTATATTCTCTTCTGGCCTAGTCCCTTGTTGTTCTGAGACGTATGCAGACATAAACATCACCCCACAAATACATGAAGAACTATACACTCACAACCTCTCTCTACAAATACAACGTTACATTATTGAGTTTTCCCCAACTCTCAAACCTGGGCTAAATTGTATCCAGAAAAATACAAGTTTATGTAAGCCCAAGATTTCTCTGACAGAACTGGAACTTACAAAGGCTTACTAAAAAATATCCAGGTTTTCTCCTTAGCACAGCACTTCATTCTTAGCAGTGGGTTAGTCCTACTTCTCCGAGAAGCTACAGACAGCTGGATAACATGACAGACATTTCAATCTGTGCTCCTGAAACCCCGCCATTCCCCGGTGACGACCTTTTTTCATTCTCTGTGCTGCCTATTTGTTCTTTCTTCTCAAAACTCTTCTCCCTCAGCACGTAAGCCAGCTTCACGCTGAGAAAAAGAGAGGCAGCCTAGTCAGAACCATCTGAGCAAGTGATCTAGCTGCTTCGCTCCTGGCACCAGGCATGAATTGCCCCTGCTGTTCCTGGAACTCCCCATCTTCCCCTGCACTGAGGCATCATAGCCTATCCGCTGTGTCACATCAATCAGCCTAAGCGTCTCACTTGCCATCTTACTAAAAACCCAGCTTGCCTGTTAGCCCACACAGCCTTCTCGCAACCACCTCGTTTCTTATCACTCACTTTTCTTCACTTTCGTTCACTGATATTACACTCTCCTGGTGACCCTTCTGCCACAATAGCACGTCACTGATGGCCTCATCGTGGCACTGCCCCTTTTTGCTGACTGCTAATTACCGGACAACCCAGGATTGGATATTCAGCCCTTTGCTGTCCACACTCTTTCCAGAAGTGCTCACTCCAATCACGCCAATGATTGGAACATCTGCTGAAGACTGCCTCCTTACATCTGCCAAGATCTTGCTTTCCCACTCCCCTACCCCAACCTGCTCTCATCTCAATCTTCCACAACCCAAATAAGGGCGGGTCAACCTATTTAGCTGTGGACTCTCTCTTTTCTAAAAGTCCACACCCAATCTAGCATACAGCCTGTCAACTTTACTTTCAAAGTTTCTCCTAGAACTCCCGACTCACTACTATTCTGTAGTTAAAGCCAGCAGCACCATTCACAGGAGACACAGCAAGAGAACTAGCTTCTTGCTTCCAAGTCCGACAGTCCGTGTTTTACAAAAAACAAATCTTTTTTATCATATCACATTGCCACTCCCATGCTTTGCACCACAACTGTGATAAAACCCATTTCTTTAGCAGATCCTGTGAGGCTCAGATCTCCCAGCATCACCAGTCTCCCCAGTCTATAGCGTTCTTCCTATTCCCCGGCTCTCAGTGGCGCCCACCTTGGGCAATGCCACACATCTCTCAGGTTTCTCCCCAGAATCACCCCCTCAGCAGTCCCAGACTCCTCATTCTGTCCCCCTGTCCAGTTCCATTGCCTTCACTGCACTACTTCTTTGACCGGCTACTACAATGTAAGCTCCCTGCGGGCATGGAGTTTGCCTATTTTCTTCGTTTTTCTTCCCTCAGTGATCAATAAACACTGGACAGACTAACATGGAAATGGGGACGCAGAGAAGTAGGCAGTAAACGCGGCACTCGGTTCCCTTTCTGAAGATTCCTCACTGTGCTTGCAGCGCTTTGATCGATACAACTTGTTGCCAGGTGCATCTGTAGGTTCCTAATAACTTCAATACCGTGAAACAACTCAAACCAGTAAGGTCTAGGTTACCTCTCACACCTGTGACAAGGCACAAGGACTTACCAAAGCTCCCCAGGTGACTAACACAGAGCTTTGCTCAACTTTTGCTCTAAAGCATCAGACACTAAATATTTTCTGCTCTGTGGACCACACGGTTTCTGTTGTAACGACTGAACTTGGTCATGTAGCAACCCGAGCCGGTATGCAGCCTGGGCATGGCTGTGTTTCAACACAAAGACAGGACCATATTTAGTGCCTGCTGTCTTTGGCCAATCCCTGATCCACCATTTATCTCAAAAGGTAATGTGCATCTTTACCACATCTTGCTAAAATGCAGAGTTCAGTTCACCAGCTTAGGGTGGAGCCTGAGATAAAGCCAGGCATTTCAGTTAACTCCCTGGTGGGGCTGATTCACCAGCCAGGCATGACAAGTATTACATGACTTTACATAACATAATCCTACTTTATTTTCACAGAAATAAAGATACAAAACCTCATTCTGCATTTAGACTTTTAACAGGAGATAACTGTGAGATGAATAAATATGAAGAAAAAAATTTAGTTACCGCTCCATTTCAACATCTCCCTTGGTGCTGATTGCGTGGTGTTGTAGGCTAAACTTCTGCCTACAGTGGTGCTGGCATCCCCTAACAGTGCCAGTACGAATCCACGCGCTTCCATTTCTGGTCCCTGCTAATGGCCTGGGAAAGCAGCAGAAGATGGCCCAAGTGCTTGGGCCCTCCCATTTGAAGCCACTTCTGTGTCTCTCCTTCTCTTTCTGTAACTCTGCCTTTCAATCACAAATAAAATAAACCTTTTAAAAAAAAAACCCTCATCAAAAGGAAAGATACTTATTTATACACCTACCTATAAATAACATGGAATGCTTTCGTGCAAACTTCAGACCTTCATTTCTGTCAACTTCTCGGTTTTCCTAAAAGAGAAATTCAATGATGAAGAAAAGTCACCAGAAAGAGCATAGCCTGAAGGGCAACCTAGGGTCTGTGATCCCTGCCGAAGTTACCTTTTAAAATAGAAAATCTTGTTTCTCCCCATTTCTTACAGAATCAACGTATCAGTTCCCATCTCCTGGAGTTGCTGTCACACCAAATGCAAGGAGACGCAGCTCAGACTAACTCCACCTCTGAGATGGTGCCCAAGATTTTAGCTTATCAGAATGGGAGGAGGAAGCCACCATCACACCTTTCTGATGTCCTTGTTGTTCTGAATACTGCTAGACATTGCTGTTCATTGGGAATGAGTCCCCCTTTTTCTCTAATCTTTCTCCCCTTCCCTGAGATGGTGTATAAAGGATACATCTTCAACCATTTTCTCAGGTCTTCCTTTCCTGTCACTAAGACAGGAGCCCTCTTTCTCTTTTCTTACATAAATCTTGTTTTGCACACTAAAATTGTCCACATGAAAATTATTTCATATGAGACAAGGAATGAGGCTGCTGACGTCTTTTGCATCTAATTCTCCACAACAAAAATACAGAAAACCCAGATGCTGTATCTTGCTGCTTACCTTGTCAATTTTATTTCCAACTAGCATGTTTACTATGTCATTTCTTGTACAGTATGTTTCCAATTCATTTAGCCAATTATCCAGTTTAACAAAGGTGTCCCTTCGTGTGACATCATAAACTGAAACAAAAGAAGTCATTTATTGCATAAGCTTGAGAAATGAGAAGGCATGTCTTTATATTTCTATGATGTAAGTAGAATTTAACATTACTATATAACCAAGTTTGGTTTAGGTTAGAATTTCAATGCTTAATCATGCATAACTGCTGAGCCAGATGGAATAAACAAATGTTTTTAGAAAGACCACACAGGAACATGGCCCTCGAACACACACTCTTATAGTAATAAAATTATAATCTCTGTAGCATCTGAAAACCAATTAAAGTAAAACAGCTGTTTCCATTCATTATGATAAAGGAGGCCTATCCAAAACCCAAAGTGTCTGGATTTAAGGCAAAATTAAACAATTATTACATTTAACTTAACTATTTATGACCCTGTTGACTTATTTCTTACAAGGATCAGAATTTGAAAATCTGAAAAGATTACAGCACAGCTGGTCGGCAGGATCCTTATGTTTCCCTCTACTGTATTTTTCTCTTGCATTATAATGAAGAAGTTACTAATTAAAGCTTTTCCCAATTGAGAGATGCTGAGCCAAAAGTATCAATATCAAAAAGAACTCTCTCTGCAATTGATCAGTATTAATTTTAAATAGCTTCATAGGAATATCAAGAACAAGCATTTTTCAACAAGTTACACTCAATTCACATTTTGGTTTTCCAATTCAGCTTGACTAAGATCAACACTGATAAAACAGATTCTACTAAGTAACAAATTCTCTTTTTTCTTATGAACTGGAGCAGACATGCACTCAGCAGTGAAGAACAATTTTTGGTAATGATCCCAAAGAGACCAGCACATGTGGATTACTCTCCAGTAATGTCTTTCAGTAACATGTGCTTTTATACCAAATACCTAAATCTTGTCTTTATGTTTCAATTGCTAGGCAATAGAATAAGCCAGTTTTTAATGTTCTAAAATGTATTAAAATCAAGGGAGGTTAATGTAATTCCACGTTACATAAAAGTAGCCTTGAAGAAGCATAAAACAAAAAGTTACTAATCTTCACATACTAAGAAAAATCAGAAATTCCAAGAAACAATATTTTAAGGCAGTACATTAAAGTAAAAAGCTTACCTAAGATAACACCTTGTGCACCTCTATAATAGCTGGGAGTTAGCGTTCTAAACCTCTCTTGACCAGCAGTATCCTAAAAGTAACAATCAATTATTATTAATAAAAGTATAAATAACAACAGAAGTATCACAAACAAGATCCTGAACACATGATTTTCAGAGTAAGAAATGGAACGTGATTTTAAACAAACCATATCAATGCTCCAGCTTATTAATAATCTGTGATTTAAAGATAGATATTTTTTAATAGTAAGTGTTACCTAAAATAAAATTAATAAATACAGATTCACCTTTAAAAACATACAGCTCCCCTGCTGGACAACCACTCCCACTGGAAAGCGTGAGTTGGGATGGGGCAGACCAGACCAGGCAGGGCTACAACACTTGTGGGCCTCAGGTGAGCTAGATCAGCAAAGGGCCAGGTTGGACTGACTGTTCTGACTGGGGCAAGCAAAAGTTAGAGTGGGTGAGGGTTGGTGGGGCTTTCCCGCAGCATCAGCTGGCAGAGGCTGGCACTGGGAGCTTCGTCTGTCAAATTAAACTCCAGAACCATCTGGAGAGTGAATAAGTTGGCAGTTGGAGTGGTCTAGTAGGGAGATAGTGGGCACCTCCCTCTTGGGTTATCACTCCTCTGGAGAGCATGAAAACCTGGACAGAGACAGGGGACCACCCACCAGTGTGTGTGTGGACTGGATAGTAGGGTTGGTTGAGCTGAACTAGGCTTCATTGCCCATTGACATGTATGAGAGCTAGATGGGATGTGGGACAGACTGAACAAGTCTGCAGTACATACAGGCAAGCATGGGAACCAGGGTAAGGGGCAGGCCTGGTGGGGGTTATGGGGAGTTGCCCCAACTAGGCTGTAGCTCCCACTGCTTTGCGTGAGGACCGAGTATGAAGTGGGTAGGATCAGGCTGAACTACAAAACCCATCGGTTCACGTGGAAGACAGGGCTGGAAACAGAACTGACCCAGCAACTGAAATGACCAGCATGTGCATAGCTGATTGGGGTGACAGACTGTGCCGGACCCTGTACTGGCAAGCACACATAGGAATCAGTTCTGGGATCACCTCAGATGCGGTTTCTGTGGAGATCCCTCCAACTGAACTGCTGATCTTAGAACCCCAACCATGAAGAGACTATGTCAGCCAGTGGATCCTGGATAGATTTCATCGCAATTGGAATGGCGAGACTGGCAGCAATTTAGAACTGTTGAACTATTAAAACTGCTTGAGCAGGACCCTCGGAGCGCACCTTGCATCTGGGACCTGGGATGGGTGGGAGGCTGGGTGGGGCTTTTCCCGTTATTTCTCCCCTGACCCCAGATACAGAAAAAAAAATGATTACATTAGTGTAAAAACAATGTTATTACCCACTTTTCTGTAGCCCTTGACCTTTTGTACCCTAAGTAACTAAGTACGATTATAAATAAATAAATAAGTAAAAAGAAAAGAAAAGAAAAGAAAAGAAAAGAAAAATACAACTAAGTTATGTGTTACTCTGGACTTCAGGTCTTTATCAAGCATGACACCAAATCATTAATGCCACAGTTTCTAATTCTGGCAGGATGTTATGGAAAAGTTAACTGAAGGTTTTCCCACAATTTCTGTTTTTAGCCTTGCACTGTAACTCTATTCCCCTTTCGTGGCAATCCGATCTGCTCACCTTCCCATGATGCACCCGACTCTCCTACACCACCAAGGAGGGCATCCCCTATGAGCACACTTAGAGCTGTATGTGCAGATGCCACCAAACTCCCAGAAGACCTCACCCTGTGCCCCCTGCGCAAAGGTTACTTCACTTGCCTTTTGCCTGTATATTTAAGGGTACCACCCTCCACCCTATAAAGGGGATGGCTGGATCTTCGGCACAGCTTCCTGGCAGACAGCTCTTGGTCTGCTCAGGCAAGAAAATGTCTTTCCTTCTGAGCCTGCCAGCACTGACCCCTGAATGAGTGACACTCCCTGATCTCTGATGCACATTATACAGGCCGCCACTTCGAATTCTTACCCAGGCAGGGGCAGAAACCTGGCACCTGAAATAAAAATTCTTGCAACAGTAACAAGATAAAACTTTCAAAGATTCTGAAGGAACTGAGCTAGAGGAAAGACAGGAATTTGAAAAGCCTTCCTGGTGATTCTAATGTGGGTCACTGTTGAAAAACCCTCAGAAGCCCCCCTCTCACTGCCACAGCCTCAGCACCAGGACACTACACCCCAAGTCCCACGCTTCAATGACAATGTAACACACTTTAGAATCAAGTCTTTCAAAACAGATTAATTTATGAGATAAAAAGATATGTTCTCTTTGCAAATATTGTTTCTAGGTTTCTTACAAAATCTGCCTCTGATATGAAAGTTCTTTCATTTGTGTCTTTGCTCAACTACATAAGTAACAAATTAGAAGGTGTATAAAACAAATAAGCTTGCCATCTAAAGCAGGTTAAAACTGATAACATGATATGTCAATATTATAACTTCATAGTTGTAGGAGGACATTGTGAGCCTGGAAGGCCAGCGAGCACAGGTTTGCAGTTCATTGGGCAGTATTTGCATGGAAACAACTAAATGGCTACCTCTTGCATACCTGTTGGGAGATAGTTCCCACGGGTTGAGTAAACAGCATGTAAATGAGAACACCTAGCGCGATGTAAAGACTAAAGGAATTCCAATCTAGAGTGCGAAAACAGTTGATGGTTTTGTTTATGAGCTCGATACTTCCTCCCCTACCCAATACGGACTTTCAGAGTATAAAGTCTGATGCCCCTAATAAACTTCGGCTTTGACCATCAGTCAGGGTCCACGCGTGTTATTATCGGCTCCGTGCACCAAGTCCGTTGCTGCGGGACAGCGACAATAGTCATCAATAAAACACCATATAGATGTCTAGTCATTTATTTGGATCCCTAAGACTGAAATATCAAGTTTCAAGTTTGATGAGAAAAGAGAATCAACAGCAAGTCAAAATGATATTTATTTATTTTATTTGAGAGGCAAAGAGTCAAAAAGAAATGACTGCACAAGGACATACAGGAGTAGACTCGACCAGGACCTTGCTGGTCTGACCAGGACTGACCAAGGGTCAGCAAGGGTCAAGCTGGCAGCTCTGGGTTAAGTCTAGATCTCCCATGTGGGAAGTAAGGACCCAGCTACTGCTTCCCAGTAACTGCACCGCTAGGAAGCTGAAGTTAGAGCTAAAGCCAGGAGCTGACCCGACACGCAGGTGGACATCTTCATCACCAGGCTAACTGTCTGCTCCCAAACAGTTTTGGAAAGCAACTGCAAACATGTAGTTATCAAGAAATTACAGGGTCTAGCACAGTAGCCTAGCGGCTGGGGTCCTCTCCTTGAACACACTGGGATCCCATAAGGGCGCAGTTCTAATACCTGCTTGTGGCCTGGGAAAGCAGTCATGGACAGTCTAAAGTTTTGAGATCCTGCCCCCATGTGGGGGACCTGAAAAAGGCTCCGGGTTCTTGGCTTTGGATGGGCACAGCTCCGGCCATTGTGGCCACTTGTGGAATGAATCAACAGACGGGAGATCTTCCTCTCTGTGTATCTGAGTTTCCAATAAAAATAAAATTAATCTTTTAAAAAATCAGAAAATCCCACAGCCTTGAATCAGAACCCGTTTTAGAAAACGGGAGTCATAAATGCAATGCAGGTTTACAGTCGGCCCGACCCATGGGCACAGCTTCGTGCGCACAGATGGAAAACACTCGCCTGTCCTGAACACTGCGGCTCAACTTTTCTTGTAGTTAATCCTTAAGCAACATAGCACAACGACTCTTTGTATATTACCTACATTGCGTTAGGTGTGACAAGTAATCTAGGGGTGATTACAGCACACCATGCGGTTTGTGTGGGTTCAGTGTAGAAACACAGTCCCATTTTATGTGAGAGACTTCAGTCTCTGTAGGTTTGGTACCTGCAGGGGGTCCTGGAACTGCAGAGGAAAAACCGCTGTGTAAAACAGCCCCAGCTACCGCTTAGAGGCTAAAAAACACACAAAACCAAACAGCCCACTCCCCCATTACCTAATAGCCAGATACACATTTTTTAATTCCTTTAACCCTACTACAAGAGATGGGGAATAAAAGAGAAACCTATTGTTATTTAAGGACATAGTTTTGGAATGGAGAATTCTTGAAATTAAGAAGTAGCTGTTCTGTCATACTGGACCACTATTCATTTACTTAATACGCAGTTTGGGCAAGGATCAAGAAATATTTTAGTGAAGACTCTTGGGTGACAGGAAAAATGTCCTTCTATTTTCATGAAGAAACTACATTTGTAGCTTCAGGAAACTGATTCCCAGCAAGCTGCATTGATGAAACACACGATAAAAAATGGAAGCTGCAATTCCAATAAAAGAAAAACATTAAGTTATCTTTTACTTTAATTGGTACGTTCTTGCATATACTAATGGAGCACAGTGGAAACAATATTTTGATGTTAAATCATCATACATTTTTGAAATTTCACACAGGAATATTATATCAGACTCAACGTTTTTGGACCCAATTAACATAGGCATGATAATACAGGGAGCCTTGTATCACAGCACTGGGTCAGGATTTACAGAATCTGCCCAGTCAGATGTGAGAGCCTGTTTTCAAGAGCTTATATTTTTGCAAGATAAAAGTTAGAATTTTTTGTTTGCTTGTTTTCAGTGATTTCCTAGTGGGGGAAGCAGAGAAGAGACTCCTGAAGATGGCCATGAAAGATCTAGGAAGGCCTGCAACAACCTGGGAGTGAAAATGAGGCCAAGATGTGGATAAGGGACTTCGCAGATGACATGCAAGCCACAGAGAATGGGCCTTCAGGAGGGCAACAGGACAAGGCTGGACTTAATTATCCCAGGGAATCCTACCAGAGGCTTCCAGGGGAAGAAAGGGACTCATTTTATTTATATAAATAAAACAACGTACAATTACAGCAAACTATGGATTCATGTATTTCAACTACTGAGCAGCAAGACTGTCAAAAACAAAACATGTCATTCAGCAGCGATGAAGAAAATAAATGCCCCATCATAAGACCCCCTCCCTCCACCACATCCTTAACAAGAGTTGAAGGGAAGCACGTTGAAAAGCAAATGACAAAAGGAAAAGAAAAAATCTGTACTGCATGTTAGTATTACAAACGCAGAATACAAATATACACTCATGCTTTATTCTTCCTCAAGATTTATTTATTTGAAAGGTGGAATTACATAGAAAGAAAGAAAAACTGAGATCTTCCATCCACTGGCTTACTCGCAAACGACTGCAATGGCCAAGGTGGGATCGAGCTGAAGCCAGGAGCCTGGAACTCCATCTGGGTCTCCCACATGAGTGGCAGGGACCAAGTACTTGGACCATGTTCTACTGCTTTTCCAGGCACATTAGCAAGGGAGCCGGATTGGAAATGGAACAGTTAGGTCATGATGCTGCTGCAAGCAGTGGCTTAACCCACTATGTCACAATGCCACCATGTAGCATAAAGAGCTAATATTTTATTATAGAAAGACTTTATAACGAAAACGACACGTTCAAATAAAATGGGCAAAGTTGGACCCAGCACAGTAGTCCTAAAGTCCTCGCCTTGCATGTGCTGGGATCCCATATGGGCACTGGCTTTTGTCCCAGCTGCTCCACTTCCCAGCAAAGCAATGGAGAACGGCCCAAGGCCTGGGACTCTGTACCATTGTGGGAGACCTGGAAGAGGTTTCTGGCTACTGATCGGCTCAGCTCCAGCCATGTGGCTACTTGGGGAGTAAACCAGTGGACGAAAGATCTTTCTATCTCCTTCTCTCTGTATATCTTCTTTTCCAATAAAAATAAATGAATATTTTAAAAAAAAATGAATTTTCTGTCCCAGTAAAGACACCACTTGGGGTGTCCACATTTCATATAGAAACATAGACGGGTCTGGGTTGAGCTGACTGCAGGATGCTAATGCACATCGTGGGAGGCAGAGGGGATCGCCACCCGAGTGGGAGAGATGTTTCTGGTTTTGGGCTGACCTAGCTTGGGCTGCTGTGGGTAACCAGTGTCTGCAAGGTCTCTGTCTTTTTGTCTTTCAGTGTAAGTGATTAATTAAAACCTGTATTACTCTTAGGGATCAGGCATGGGGAGCATTTGTTTTTCTGCCAAGGGTTATTTGAATACCCGTAAAATCATTTGCCAGCCAACACAAACTCATCAACTTAAAAATCAGCCTGCTACAGGTTCAGCGAATTTCAAACCCTTACCTGCATCTGCCCAGGCAGAGCTAGACCAAATCATTTTGCTGTCTTGGAGGCTCAGACACTCTGCACCTCTGTTACCGCCAGAGATAGAACCTCTTCCCTTGAATGAAGTCCTTCTAGACAACTGCCAAGGATGTGTTTCCAGTATTACCTGGCCAACCTTCCTGTCACACAGCACTAGATAGTGAATGTAAGACCAAAAATGCCCTGGCTGACATAGACAGTCACTGCAGCCAGCCTCAGGCCTGGGCTAACTCAGTCCTTTCACAAAACCCAGCAAGCGGCGAAGCAGGGAGACACACCAGCCTAGAGACACACAGGGAAAAGCAGGCCTCCACTGAGCACAAAGGGAGCCTGCACTTCTGGACTGCGGACCAGCCCATCATTCTCCAGCCTGCTTTCTGACACACACAGCCCTTCTGAATGATACTAAAAATACCATTAAATATATCATTCAGAATTATATAGTTGCCGGGGGACACATATATGCAAATAATCATTTAAAATACTGTATTTTGGAAAACGCGGACTTCCAAACACTGAGCACACTTGGTTGTTACTTTGGGTGAAATGCAGGTTAGAAGCAGAGTGCCACTCAGCACCAATGAGATGGATGCCCTCACTGAAAGCAGGGCAGGGCTGAGTCAGTGCAGGCAGCACTGACCACAGGGCCTCCACATGGAGGTGGCTCAATCTGTTCCCTGGTCCCTAAGTCTACCATTATTTGCCATGCTTATGAAACCCTGCGGTGGACTTCAAGACGTTCATAAAAAACAGAATTAAGTTTATTTTGGTGAGAAATTCTTTGAAACATATATATACAAGGGGTACTCAAAAAGTTCATGGAAAATGTGTATTATGAAAAACACACTGCATGAATTTTAAAATGTATTCATCAAAACAAGCTTGTTAAAGAATATGCAGAAATTACATAAAATGCTATCATGTATTTGTACATTAGCCATCATTTTTAGACAGAAGGGAGAATGTGTATTAGGGAGACAGACAGGGATACCAGCATCTTGAATGTTTTGCCAGTTACGGCTCCCTTATTTACAACTGGCCCTAAGGGGGCCTAAAAGCAGAGCAATGCAGATCAGAAAGGGTGGATCGCAAGAAAGGAAAAAGCCAGACAAAAAAAAAAAAGCCAAAGCAATAAAAATTGACAAACTTGAATTTTATAAAGATCTATAATATACTGATCAATAGTATCCTTCCCCTTAGCATGAACTTTAGTATTAGCTCAGACTAGCTGAGTTTTTCAAAGTCCCAAGGACACATGCAGTAACAATGATTCTGACAGATGAGATGGGCGCTTGTGGTAGCTTTTTTTTTTTTTTTTCAAATATTCTGTTCTGGAACATCCTTGAGTTTAAGAAGTCTTAGCCTAATTATCCCATTAAGGTGTAACTACTTTACCCTTTAATCAACATCAGATCTTCTAAATTAGTTAACACAAATTGGTCATCTCTAGAACACTATACAAATCAATTTCTAATCCCTCACATGTTTATTAAAAGTACATTAAAAAGAACTCTTACCCATATTGCAAGTTTAGCCTTATTTCCGTCCACTGAAATTGTTTTCACCTTAAAGTCAACACCTTGAAGAAACAAAAAATTTGGTAAGTCTCCAGTAAAACAGATTTTAGAATCCATTATCAACAGAATCAGAACCACATAAAATGCACATACGCACAACCTAAATTCTTAAATGCTGGATGTGAAAATGCAAGAAAAAGTATCAGTGAAGCGCCAATGCTTTAACCAGGACAAATGAAAACCAAATGCCTGTAGAATTCACTCACCTACCTCTACTTCTTCTAAAATGAAAAATAAAATCCTATTGAAGGCAACGATGTGTGTATTTCTGAAAAGCTTCTGTAACTATTAAGTCATGTTAAGAGAAGATGAGCTTCATAGACAGTCACATAAGGCTAATTTATTACAACCGACCAAGAAAAAAAAAGAAAGAAAGAAAGAAAGAAATCTCTCCTTTCCAGGAAATGGAGTTGACACAGGCATCTGGCTCAAATGAACAGTGACTGCCCGCATGTCTCTAAAAAGTCTGAAAATACTATGCAGTCTACCCCACTAGCCAGAGGGAAAACATTAGCTCAACAAGTATGGAAAGAAACTTTCAAAAGATATTATTAGCTTGTCACAATTAATTCCAAACAACCCCAACTATGATGAACAGCACCCTCATGATGTACCAAAAGCTTAACAGAACACCTGTCATCATATGGAAATATTTTTGTCATTTTTGGATGACTTGCGACAATCCATTACATACAAAAATTAGGTAATAAAAGTGCACATTCAAAATGCACATTATGTCAAGGATTTTTGTATGCTAAAGATACTGTTAAAAAAAAAAAAAAGGAGAGTGTGAAGTCGTGGGCTAGCGATGAAGGAGCTGGAGTTGATGGAGAAGCACCTAGAATGAACAGAAAACCCTTGGGAAGGGGACAAGGTTGATTATGCAGCCAAAGGGAACCCTGAAAGGAACATCTCAAAGACTAAACACTCTGGTGTTCAGATCCAGAGAAAGAAGTCTTAGGCCACTTAATGGCATAATACAAACTTAAAGGAAAACCCGAGAATTTTCAGGAAGGCAAATGATTTTAACTTGGTGTAGGTACAAAATTAGGGCCACTGAGCGACATTAGCGAGTCAGCCTGTTATACTCCAAAGTTCAATTCTCTAGGTTCTTCAGACAGAATATGGACAGTTAACTTTTTTCTTAATAAGCACAGAGGCTTGTTTAGGAAAGAACAGGCTCTTTCCTAGGCACTGGCTACCTACTCCAATAAAGAAACTCACTGCTCCCCACCTGTGCTTTCCCCTCCTCCCCCATCTTTTATCATCCCTACCTGTGTATGTTTGTTGATAACAGTTTAGTGCCTCTGTCACGTGGCTAATCTCCCGCATCTTCAAGCTACTGACACACTGCTAACAACCATGGCAGCTGATGACCAGGAGAGCCAACAGACACACAGGGAGGCTGCAAGGGCACCTTGATGGTGGAGGGGGCCACTTCCCTTGGCTGCTCTAGGAATCTTATCTGCCACCACTGCTTCTAACTTCAGCTTCTTGTTGGTGCAAATCACAGAGGGAACAGGTGAGGGCTCAAATCCTTGGGTTTGGTCACTGCCACCCTTGCAGGAAAATTCAATCAATTTATGGGATGCTCTATTCGGCCTGGCTCCCCTCACTGTTGCGAGCATCAGGAAGCAAGAAACCAGCAGGTACATGAGCTCTGTTTCTTTCAAATAAATAAACATTCAAAAAAAAATTTTTATGAGTAAGACCGTATCCATAAGTTTAACAGCTCAGAATAATAGAAATCTGCCTGGAAGATTTAAGATCAGAATTGACTCAAAAAGAAACATCACAAAATATCTATGAAATATTAAAAAAAAGAAATTAAAATTTATCACCAAGAAAAATCAACTAAATAGAAAAGAAGGTATTTAGTTGGAGCAAAATATAGGATAAACTTTCAGAAAACAAGTAGAAAACAGCACAAATCCTTTCTTATCAGAAACTTCAATAAATGTAAATAGATAAAACTCCAATAAAAAGGCAGAGATCAATAGACTATTTAACTAGAAACTGGCAAAAAAGACTTTTTAAAAAAGAATTTATTTATTTTTATTACAAAGTCAGATATAAAGAGAGGAGGAGAGACAGAGAGGAAGATCTTAGGTCTGTTGATTTACTCCGCAAGTGGCTGCAACGGCTGGAGCTGAGACAATCCCAAGCCAGGAGCTTCTTCCACCTCTCCCACACAGGTGCAGGGTCCCAAGGCTTTGGGCCGTCCTCGACTGCTTTCCCAGGCCACAGGCAGGGGGCTGGGTGAGAAGCAGGGCCACCAGGGTTAGAACCAGCGCCCATATGAGATCCTGGCGCATGCAAGACAAGGATTTAACTGCTAGGCTACCATGCTGGGCCCAAAAGAAACTTTCTAAAAAGGCTTATTTATTTATTATTTGGAAGGTAGAATTACAAAAACAGAGAGCAAGAGAGATCCTACATCTGCTGGTCCACTCCCCAACTAGCCTTACTTCGCAAATGGCTACAACAATCCAGGCTGGCTCATGCCAAAGCCAGAAGGCAGGAGCTTTTTCTGGATCTCCCACTTGGGTGTAAGGGCTCATGGACTTGGGCCCTCTTTTGCTGCTTTCCTAAGCACATTTGCAGGGAGCTAGGTGGGAAGCAGAGCAGCCATGACCTGAACCAACATTTTTATAAAATGAAGAACTGCAAGTGGCAGCTTAATCTAGTACACCACAACACCAGCGCCATGAGACTAACTTTAGGTCTAGAAACACCAACAAGGTTTAAAGTGAAAGGAGAAAAGACACAGTTCATGCAAATAATGAGCAAAAGACATATAGAAGTGATTATACAAGTTATCACACAATATCTAAATGTTATCAAAAACTGTTACAAAAGACAAAAATTCACCAGAAGATACAGTTAATTATAAGTACATACACACCACAGACTACATCTCCAAATACACACAAAGCAAACACTGTCAAAATTCACAAGGAGGGCCCTGCATGATAGTGTAGTGCTTAAAGTCCTCGCCTTGCATGCCTGGGATCCCATATGGGCGCCGGTTCTAATCCCGGCAGCTCCACTTCCCATCTAGCTCCCTGCTTATGGCCTGGGAAAGCAGTCGAGGCCGGCCCAAGGCCTTGGGACCCTGCACTCTTGTGGGAGACCCGGAAGAGGCTCCTGGCTTTGGATTGGCTCGGCTCTAGCCATTGTGGTCACTTGGGGAATGAATCATCGGATGGAAGATCTTCCTGTCTCTCCTCCTCTCTGTATATCTGACTTTCCAATGAAAATAAATAAATCTTTAAAAAAAATTCAAGGAGAAAACAAGAGTGTTACAATAACAGAAATAGTTGTAAATTTTAATATAACACTTTCAGTAATGAACAGAGCCACAAGACACATCATTGACAACAACCAAAATATTCGAACAATACTGGGAACTAATCATATGTAAAACATTGTACTTAACAATAAATTTGTCTCAAATACACATGGAATATTTCCATAACAGAGCATAGAGGACTATACAGCAAACAAACCCCCCAACATTAAAATCATACAAACTATTTTTCTGGTCACAATGGAGTAAAATTAGAAATCAGTAAGAGGAGGAAAACTAGAAAATCACAAACATGTAGACACTTAAGAACAATCTCTGAACTAACCAATAAACCAAAGGAGAAACTTTAAGGAAAATAAAAACATCTTGAGACCAATGAGAGCACTTCAGAACAAACTTCATAATAAAAAAAGAAATATTTCAAAACAGTAACCTGGAGAATCAAGATGGCGGAATAGGGTAAGGACACGTTTAAATGGACGGAGAAACATTTAATCAGGATGAAGCAGAGAGGACATATTCCAGGAAATAGGAAAGGACAGAACAACAGCAGAGGGGTACCTGGAGACTGACAGACACAGGAAAGCAGCAGGCATGGCAGTGTGGTGTTGCAGTGACTGATACTCCAGCACGGCGATCTGAACTCCGATAGCAGCAGGAACTCCACCAGCAACCAGGTGGGAAGGGACTTTCACTGGGAGCTTGGGAGGTAAACCCAGATGGGGAACTGTCCGTCCTGCTGGTCCCTTTAATTTGACCAGGAGCAGAGACAGAGCAGCAGATCTCAGGCAGTGCGAGAACAGAGTGAATTTCATAGCCCAGTCAGCCCCCTAGAGCTGAATTGGGTGCCAATTTGCGTAAGGAGAAAAGAGCAAGGGAAAGGACTAGCATGCTCTGAGCAGGGAGTGCGCTCATTTCTGACTCGATGAACTGCAACGACGTGGCATTCTATGGGTTCCACCCGGGGCAGGTCTTGGTAGCCCTTGGATCTGAGGGCCAGCAGATCAAGAACTGTTGTGGTAGCACGTCGGGTGCCATTTTGCACACTGTGGCAATAGCTTTGGGTCTGCAGGGAAAACAGTGAACTGCGCATGTGCTGAGCTCGCCAGAGCTGGCTGAGGTCCCACAGGGAAATAATACCGACTGTGACATTGTACCGGTCAAACTAGGTCCGTGTGGCACCCAGACCTAACGTCCAACAGGTTCCAACAAGATCAGCACCACCAACAACCTAACTAGATAGTACATCTGGTGTCTCTAATCCTGGAACCCACTCCAACCGGAAGAGGGAGAAAGGCTGCAGAGACAATGGTGCAGCCTAAACACGGTATCATAGGAGGTGGAGAGTGGTGAGCCAAGAGCTGGGGCTGTGGAGACCACGGTGGATATCTGACATAAGAACCCAGACCTGGAACTCGCTGGAGGTTGTGGCATAAGTGGCTGCAAGCAAAAAGCTGTGTACCAACTGCAATAAGTAAACTCGCATTGTAGACCTGTGGGTGACACAGCTTAGAAACCTGTCCCAAGGAGAAGACCCCGCTAACCAGAAGTACAATGAGCAAGAGCAAAAGAAGAGACAAAGGCACAATGAATATCACTGAGCACTCCCCTGCAAAGGAGCAAAACCCTATGCCAACCTCAGAGTTAACCCAGGAAGACATCGAGAAAATGGGGGACACAGAATCCATAAGACTCATTTTAAAGATTCTGGTCAAAAAT